GATTTGGTTCAGTGGAATAGGACATCCATTTCCTATTAATACATTGAAGAAATAAGTAAGGATGGTAATAGCATATTAGCAATTTAGCATCATGATGTTGCAGTCCAAGAGGTACAAACAAAGTCCCTTTTAACATAATGTTGCCATAAGTTTTCACTTTACTGGACTAAACATTGTGATTGTGCATTAAATAAGCAACTAATCATAGCGTATCATCTTATAGAAGCATAGAAGCATTAGCCTCTTTTTAAAGGGCACACTTTTCTGTGGGCATAACTTGAAACTATTTTGCGAACCTTGATAGCAAAATAGTAAGTTCTATTTTGAGTTCCCGCATCCTATAGCAGTTACAAGAGGCTTATTTTGTTTGAAAAGGAAACTAAATCATTAACATAACAAATATATACTTTATTTTGGATCTATCTTGTTTCTTTCTTTGTATTTTATTTATTGTTCCAGAATTTACCTAATTTTTATGGAGAGAAATGTGTAAATTTCAAGAGCTATAATAACCCTGTGATGTTTTTTTTACCGTCCATGTTCATCGAACGTTCATGACGCTGGTTTTGAAGTTGTATTATTAGTTGGTTACGTATGTTTTTATCCAACTTTGTTCTCCCCTTGTGGAGGATTATGGGCTAGTCGTTCAAAATTTTTTTGTTATTTCCTTGCACTTTGAATTTGTAATTTGTTGGATTTAGCCTCATCTTTTGGTGCAAGCTTTAGTGCCCCATGCTATTATGTGTAATTAACCTTTTTCAAAAAAAGAGTGAAGAGTGAACATCTTTAGAACCATGGCTGGCTGCTTATTGCTCGATCATGAGCCTTCGTAATTTCAAATTTTATTGGTTGGAGCCTGTAAAATATTTTTAAAATCATGAAGCCGTGAAAGAACTTGTGAAATGAATGCTGACCTTCTCGATATGGTGATCGGAGATTGTGCAGTCAGGCCATATTACACTTGCGTTGACTTAGTTTATTACTCCCTGTTTTTTTAAGTGTTCTACTTCGTAACTCTTTAACTTGTTAAGAAAATATTAATACACAATTTACTTTTACCTCTATTTTTCTTATTTACCTTCTATGGAGACATTATCATTATACTTTTACTCACTAATTTTTCAAAATAGAATATATTTTTAGGGGCAAAATAGAAAATATACCAATTTTTACCTCCTTACTTTACAAAATGGATACTCCCTCCATCCCAAAATGCTTGTCCGGTCTGCAAAACGGAGTTAAAAATAATGCCATTCTTGCAAGAAAAAATCATAAGTTTTTTAACATTTTACTAGATATCAATGAGTATTTTTAATTTGTGAAAAAAGTTTGAATTTTTCTTGAAAAATTTGCATTATTTTTAACGCTCCGTTTTGTGGACCGGACAAGCATTTTGGGACGGAGGGAGTACTCATTAAGGGACCATTTAAAATGGAATATTGGACTTTAAAAAGGGGACGGAGAGGGTACTTAGTCAGGTTGAAGAACCTCCCAATTTTTTGGGCATTAAAGTCTTCTTTTTTTTTTTTGAACGGGGCATTAAGTCTTTTCACACTTTTCCTAGACTTTATTTCCTAGACTTTATTGTGCATAGATCTGTGTGGAGCCCACTCTAAGTCTCATATAAACGATCCAAGCTGTTCATTTAAATGTAAAATATTTTTTAATGGGTTTTCCAAAAAATCAACTTATTCTCTTCTTTTTTTTTTTTTGCAAAATAATTAGTTTAATGTAATATTTATAGGTATTTGATTCAATCATCTACTCCCTTTGTTCCTTTTTAAGGGTTCTGTTTTGCAACTCTTAACTTATTAAGGGAACATCATTATTACACATTTCATATCAAATTTTATCTCCACTTTTTCTATTTACCCTTTATGAAGATATCGTCATTATATTTTTACTCGTAACTTTTCAAAATGGAATTTATTTTTAGGGGCAAAATGAAAAATGTATCAACTTTAAACCACTAATTTTACAAAATGGACATTTATTAAGGGATAATCCAAAATGTAATATTGGATTCTAGAAAAGGGACGGAGGGAGTAATTTTTATTGTCTTGAAATTTGAATGAAAAATTAGATGATTTCATTGAGGGAGTAATTATTACAGTATTGTTCTGAAATTTGAATGAAAAATTAGATGATTTAATTGAGCACCTACATATATTGGATTGAGTTACTTTTTCTGGAGGCTTTCAAAATAATGTTTTATATTTAATAAACGGCTTGAATCGTTTGAGTGGGGACTCTAGTGGGTACCACAACAAATTTGTGCATTTTTGCTGTGTGTAGTATTACTGTCTTTTTGATTGGTTTACATTTATTTATTTAGAAGGAAACGAGTTGGGCTTACTTGCTCCATTCCAGTGATGGGAAAGGAGCTTGATTGGTCTTTATCGGATGTTGTCTGTTGTGTTTTGATACAATCGGAAAGCATTTATCTTCGAATAAGTCTATCTAATAAACACACTGGATCGCAATCTCTTCTTTGCGAATCAAAAAAAGAAAAGAAAAAGTAATCTCTCTTCTTTTTTCCCACTTTGACCCAAGATAAATGCTCTTCGATCAGGTTTTGATCATGACCAATTTTGGCGTGGTTGAAGCAATCGAAAATGTCTCTAATGATCGACTTCAATCATGATGTAAGCTTGGTATGGTCCCAAAAAAGCAGAGAAGTGCTGCCCATTTTCTATGTGGTGGTTTGAACTCTCTACAACATGAACGAGAGTCAGATTTTTGCAGAGGGCCAAAACGGTCTTGGTAATAGCTGACAGTCGGACGGCCAACTTGAAACATGTATGTAGCCTCCAGTTTGTTACCCAGGGGTACCAAATAATTGTTCTTATTTTTGTGCTACTATACTTTCTCCGTCCCTATTTAAATGACCACTATTTCATTTTGGGTTGTCTCAAAATAAGTGTTCGCTTTGAAAAGTTAATTGGTAAAGTGGAGGATAATTTTGATAAGTGGAGGTAAAAGTTGAGATAGAAAAAGTGTAAAGTAGAGGAGAAATTTAACTCATAGAACTGGGCATTTTTCAAATTGAGACATTTAAAAAGGGATTTTTCAATTGAGACATTTAAAGAGGGAAGGAGGGAGAGTGTATTTAAATTTTTCTTAATTTTTAGTATTGTTTTGTAATTTGTAATGTTTGTTGTAATCTTACATTCAGTCTTATAATTGAGTGAAATCAAACAAGATTCACGTTGCTGTGGAAAAAAATTTAAATAGTAAGATATATTTTATATTATATTTTTTAAGTGTTCAATTTCATAATTTCAACTTCTAAAGAAAAATCATAAGTAAACTTTTCGTATCAATTTTTACTTTCACTTTTCAAAATTATTCTTTCACTTTTATCTAATACTTATAAACTCTTTACCCATTAAATTTTTTTAAGGAAAAAATTAAATAATAACTGAAAATATTCTTATGTGTTAATTTTTTAAATAAACACTTATTAGATGAGCCCAAAATATAATTTTGAACTATTATTTGGGGACGGTGAAAATATTAAAGATATGGATTATTTTATGAGAAGTGCAGGTGGTGTTCCACTTTCTAAAGAAGTACTTTTTTTTTCAAACGAAGGTAATTTCAAGCTCAAAAATCATGTGTTTACGCAAATAATTTTCTTACTAATATGAATCTTGTTTGATAGATCTCATTAAGATCTTTTAAACAATGCAAAAAAAATTAAAAAAATATTCTTCATTTTCATTATATCTGAGTTTGAAATTACCTTCGTTTGAAAAAAAAATACTCCCTCCGTCCCTTATTTAGAGTTCAGTATTCCATTTTGGGCTGTCCCTTAATAAGTATTCATTTTGTAAAGTTAGTGGGTAAAAATTGGTGTATTGTCTATTTTGTCCCTAAAAATAGATTCTATTTTGAAAAGTTAGTGAGTAAAAGTGTAATGATAATGGGTAAGTAAGGAAAGTGGAGGAAAAAGTTGATATAAAAGGTATAATGATGATGTCTTTTCAATAAGTTGGAGTTACGAAGCAGTGCACTTAAAAAGGGACGGAGGGAGTACTATTTTAAAAAGTGGAACACCACCGAAGTATACATGCTTTATGGGATTGAGGGAGTAAAATAATTGGTAGTGTGGAGATATCTTTTATTCTAGTAAAATTATTTTAATGAATTCAAATCTTTTTTCCTCTTCTACTCAAGAAAGAATGACAAATTTATTTTGACCAAGTAAAAAACATAAACAACCGATTTTGTTTTGAGCAAGGAGATATCTATTATTTAGGGCGGCAGTTTTATTCTTTATCTAAACTTAAAGTTGTTTGGGAACTATTTTACCCTTCCAAAATAATAAGCTGCGTTATTGTGTTATGGGCATTATTAATGGCGATGAATGTTGAAACGTTGTGTTTATGCGTTTCAAAAAGTGGATCCATAAGCTCAAACCGGTAAGAGCGCCCAAGCATCTTGTTTGGGAGGATAGTGGTTCGAGTCCACTTGGGTCCTTACTCACTGTACAATGTTTTGTGTTTATGCATTTCAAAAAGTGGATTCATAAGCTCAAACCTGTAAGAGCGCCCAAGCATCTTGTTTGGGAGGATAGTGGTTTGAGTCCACTTGGATCCTTACTCGCACTACAATGTTTTGTGTTTATGCATTTCATGTGGTTCAAGTCTACTTGGATCTTTACTCACGGTACAATGTTTTGTGTTTATGCATTTTCATATGTGGATCCATAAGTTCAAACCAGTAAGAGCGTCCAAGCATCATGTTTGGGAGGATGGTGGTTTGAGTCCACTTGGATCCTTACTCACGGTACAATGTTTTGTGTTTATGCATTTCATTCATATGTGGATCCATCAGTTCAAACCGGCAAGAGTGCCTAAGGGTGTTTGGGAGGATAGTGGTTCGAGTCCACTTGGATCCTTACTCGCACTACAATGTTTTGTGTTTATCATTTCATGTGGTTCGAGTCTACTTGGATCCTTACGGTACAATATTTTGTCTTTATGCATTTCATATGTGGATCCATAAGCTCAAACCGGTAAGAGTGCCCAAGCATCGTGTTTGGGAGGATAGTGGTTCGATTCCACTTGGATCCTTATTATTCATTCACGGTACAATGTTGTGGTGTGTGGATTGGAGAAGAAGAACAAGCAGAGGAGGAGATGATTTCCTGAAAATTTTATTTAAGCGGCCTAATTTCTTTCAGTTTAAATTTAACATCATGATATAGCGTAAGAAATTGTGAATCATCTTTGGTCTCAACCCATAATGTTTTGTTTGGATGGTGTTTTGAAACTGTTTGAGTTTGTTTTTTGGGATAATAAGTTGAGAGAGAAATTAGAATAATAGGTAATGAGTGAAGAGAGATAGAGAAAGAAATGAAACTAATGATTGGAGATATGGGTAATGTGTAGAGAGAGAAATGAGTGTTTTTGGAGTCGGTTTTTTTTTCAAAACACCATCCAAACAAGACACTAAGACCCCGTTCGTTTTGGGATTTTGGATTTAAATTTATAGGTAATGAGTATAGAGAGAAATATAGTAATGATTGAAAATAGGGGTAATGATTGAAGAAAAAATAAGATTCTCCGTAATGATTAGAATCCAAAACTTTTAAACAATGGGGTCTAAGAATTGCATCCTGCTGGGAAATCGCTTTATGGATTTGTTTGTGCTCCAATTCAAATGATCAGCTAAGTTAAAAACATTTTGAAATTTTTTTTTTATCGCTGATAAATAGATTGAGCACAGGAACGGTACGCAACATTATACTGTAAACATTCATAATACTCATCACAAAATTTTGCAACATTAACTGTTTTATTTTCCCAAAATCTGAAGGTCGAATGCAATTCTAACAGTTTTATTTTTATTTTTTAGAGACAAATTTGATTTGGTCCAGTACTTATCGATTTGACTGATCCAAATTTTTGGATAAATAATATACACACAATATGGAATCACACGAGAGGATCATAACACCAGTACACCACTTATTACAGGGACAAGTAACAGAGCTGCCAACTTTCTGTACAGCTCTTGCACTTACTTTTGTATTTTATTTTGGGAAAATGATTTTGTCGCTTCACGTTTTTATAAATGCACTTTGAAACTTGTCTTTCAATGTGATTTGAAAAATGTGCTATGTGTATTTGAAAGAACTAAAAGACAAATTTTCGAATGCAATCAAAGAGTGGAGTGTCGAAATTGTTTCTCTTTATTTTGGAGTTGTGCTACTTGCATAACTCTTTTTTGGGAAAATGTCGGCCAATGACGTGTTTTGATAATTAATACCCGTCAAGGATATTTTCAGCATTAACAAATGTTCTCAGCTTTGTCCTTGGCGGGTATTAATTAACAAATGAGATGTCTTGTTAAGTGGATCATGGGCTTCAGGGAACGGTTGTGCCATGGCCAATGTGCGTTCGGCCCAAGCCAGCCCAGCAAAGTGGACTGCCTGTATTGTCAAGCCCAATGTATTGCGCGGTTCGGCCCACTGCACTCCGTATTCGACGCTGGCAAGGGTACATATACTCCATGCACATATGATTTTGGGACCCATTTTGGGTCCACACAAATATGATTGAAACTGCTCATTTTGTTCAATATATTTTGATAAGGGTCCATATAAAAAATCAGTTCAACCGAATTTCGGTAATGACCTTTACGAAACATCCAATTTTGATTTAGAATTCGGCCTTTGTGGTACCCGAGATGGGTTTTTGGGTCCCAAAAACCATATGTACATTGTGTTTGTAACTTTGTATTGCTATGTCTGTACAGATAGCATTAGTGTTTATTTTGATCGAATCCATTTGTTTTGTTCTTGAAAAAGAGGCAACCCCATTCTATCAAAGCTAAAGGCAATGCAAAGATTTCATTACAAGGTACATGAATAATGAACCAAAATTATCAAAATCTAGACACGAGCATTTACACTAGCAAACTCAATAACGCATACTGCAAAAGCAGTCCAACAAGGTCAAACATAAGGCCAACAAAAAATTTGGTAATAAAAGATACTACTCCTACAAAGAAACCCAACTCAAACCATGAAGTTAGTACAAATGAAATCTACAAGAAAAAGAAAGAAAGAAAAGGGAAACACCGAAACACTTCATAAAGGAGGGGAAGGAAAAACCAACAGCACACAGTATCAACAACACGTGATCTCACTAGAATATTGTCAAGTCGCAAAAACCAGAACCATCTATTCTATATTCATAAAGGTAGAGCACCATTTGGTGTCGATTCCTTTTTGAGTCTGGCTCACATTTTGAGTTTCCAAAAATACTCGAGAGATAAACTGCTTCCATTTGACAATGGTTGTAAAAAAAATTTTGGGACACGAGGAGAACTAGGTAACTATGGTAGGTACTAGATGCGGCAATCATGTGATGTATTGTGAGAGAATGACCTGTATCGTAAAACGGAAAATAAATACTTAAAAAATAAGAACCTTTTGGTTGTTAACATACTAATCACCCTCTAACCCTCACTTATGTATACAATATTTGTAAATATATTAAAAAATGTCTGGTAGTTACAATCCTCCCGCGTTTACAATTGTTCTTAGCACAAGGCTTGTCTGCAGTCCAAACGTGGACTGCAGAGGTGCGGTTGGAGTGTTCGCAGCTGTTGGATGGTGTTTTTAACGGTCGAGATTTAAAAAAAAAAATCCGGAGAAAAGTTATTCGGAAAAGTTTTTTAAAATCTGAACTGTTGAATACAAAGATGAATGACTGTGATACAACTGCATGGACTCTCTGTAATTGGACTGCAGAGAAGCCGGGTCCTCTTTCTTATAGTATCACACACTCACTAGAGAGAGAGAGGGGGGGAAGGAGAACACAGAATGAGAGCAAAAGAAACAAACGGAGGACAAAGACTGGTTCAATAAATCAACGCACGCGCCCAGTATACGTAAAGGGGGAAAAAAATGACTTTTTAGGGACTGACTACCCCGAACGGTTTGGGTCTTGCGGGCATGAGCAGTCTTTATTTTAATGATCGAAATTGTTCATTTTATAGAGCTCGTCAAAAAACTAAATAAAATTATGCGCCCAGAAAATTATGAGCATTGGATGCCAATTAGTATCTGTTCGAATGCATTTAGGTTTACAAAACTGGATTCTGCCGCATTGAATCAAATCCATCAATCCCGTTTTTACAACAGGTAAACTCATTTCAAACAAGTGATAAAAGGCATCGGATTCATATGATCTTTGATGCGGTTAGCGTTCTAGATAAATTCTAAAAAAATGAACAATTTCGATCATTAAAAGGGACCCTGCTCGTGCCCGAAAAACCCAAACCGTAAGGTGCAGCCTCCCTTTGAGGACTGCCGCGCGAGAAAGCGATCTCTTCATATCAAGAGGATGGCGTCTCGGGATCTACGCGTCCATCTTCAGCTCCACACGACAAAAGGGGCTGTCTGGTCATAGTACTATTTTATTCTCTTTGCCTTTTTTTTGACAATGGACTGATGGAATATCTTCTTACGGAGGTTTCAATGAAAATGGGTTTATGGAGGTGACTTACATCCGACTATTTTGAACGGTTCAGATTTTTTTAAAAAAAAATTAAAGAAAAATTTCATTAAATGCCGGATCGTCCAAAATACTTTTGAATGGTCATTTCTTCTATAAAAAACTTGTTTACGACAAAGTCGTGAATGAGTTTCTCTCTTTTTCTTTACTAGTGGGAATCTTATCTTGATTGATCCCTTTCGCCATACACAATAGTGTGCCAAATTGCCTATCAGGCTAAAGTTTCGCTATTTTTTAGGCTTTATCTTATTTTGTTATTATTTAATTTTTTTTCATGTTTATTGGTTTTGTGTCTAATTTTTGTGGATTATTAATTCGTCTAGTCAAGACGAATTGACAAAAGTAAAAAATACTATGTCTTTTACTCAAATATTTTTGAAAATATCTAATATGAAGTCAAAAAAGCAGGCGCAAAACTAACAAACACAAAAAATTTAAATTAAAAAAAAAGCAAAAAAAAACCCTCAAAAAGTCGTTAGCGGACCTTGCCCTCAATGTCCAAATTAATTTTTGAGCAAGGAAACAACAACAACAATTGATTCATTTGGATTGGACTTTATGAGTGCTTGAAATGTATCCCATTTTTAAGTCAAAGTTATTAGCTTTCTCATTATGGATGATGGATCTTCCACGAAGGGAACTTTCTTATGCAGCTATGCTTTTTAGACTTTTTAGCTAATGGGCTGTGGGTTGGGACCTCCAAACACCTACTTGGTCTTTGGTGAAATAGCACTCCCATGAAAAATGCTTTACAGATTTGGGAGAAAAGCAATCTCATGAAAAATACGTTACAAACTTTGGAGAAAGCACTCCTACGAAAAAAAGCTTTAAACACCCATTTTAATCAGCAAAGAAAAGAATTTTATCAAAAGCTCAATCAGGTTACGTCGAGAGAGACCTTAGGCAAAACAGGATTGTGTGCCACTGATGCGGTTGAGGCCCACATCATGAATTGTGTGCCTCAACCATCAGATCGATGCAGTCGAGTCTCACGTACGTATACATCGTACGTGTGCCGCTGTATCGAATGAGTCTGAACACATCTGCGTCGAGTTCTAAAAAAAATTACGATTAATTTCTTGTTTGAGAATTCAGATCGTGTATCCAGACATCTTGTCCGTAACACTGCTCAAAAAGTGTATCGCCGGGTGTCATTGTTTCACTCCAAGTCAGCGAATCAATTCTACAAGGATGAATAGCTATGTATAACTGAAATTATTCATAGTTAGCTACTTGTCCTTGGCTTTGTTGTGTTTTCAAGATTCCCACAGCTTGCTCTTTGTCTTGTTCTATCTTTTCTGTGGATGACATAAATTGTTAGATTCTGTGTTGGATGAGTTTTTTTTAATCTGATTTTAGTTGGTCCCCGCGCTAATGAATTTTTTGAGATGAGTCGATCCCCATAATTGATCAATTCTTTGGACCGTGACATCACTTGTCTGACCATTTTTTCACCATCTCTCTTAAAATCAATTGGTGTTACGGAGGGCTTTAATTAAGTCTTTTACGGCATTCGATATTGCGCCCGCAAGTCTATTTTTAGAGCG